CCCCAAAACCCCAAAACCCCAAAACCCCAAAACCCCTATTTTGAAACTTTTTATTGAACTAGTAAGCCATGTGTTAGCACCCTTAAACTATTCCAGCTGTTTAGCAAAAGGGCTTCCATTCTTAACAGCATCTTTGATCTTCTTCAATATCTCTGATTTATTAACTAAAGCTCTTGGAGAGAGCCCTCTGGCTGGTTTCTTCTCAGTAATGGAGACCTATAAGGGCTCTAAGATATCCACTTACGGTAGACTTTGGAGGAGAAGTTATAAGGTACTTGCCATTCTATAGAGAGTGAAATAACAAAATACCAATGACATAATAGATTTCTTGTTGATATTTTTAATTGAGTTTGGAGGAGGAGAATTAAATTTGTACTTATCCAAATTTACATTCAACTTCTTCTGACCATACCTCTTGTTTACTCTAGGAACTGCCTTTTGGAGAGTCTTATGACTCTTTACATGCCCAACTTTGTTGAAAACCTTCTTTTTATTTGTTAAAATTTTCTAAAGTTTGGAGGAAACTTACTTTGAATAGAGTGTTCTTCTTTACTTCAACTCTTAGACTTATTACTGGAATTACGCATGTTTTCATTTTTACTTCTAAAAGTAAGCGTACTCCTCAAATTATTTTTGAATTGCTGAATCGGTGGGACATATTCATCTCTTTTATTAATAAGAATACTCTAAAAAGAAGATTTATATATCATCATTACAATTTGTAAGAGATATGTGAAATTTTCTAGTCTTAACATTAATGCTGACTTACCTGTAATTTCTTCTTTCTCGGGGAGCTAAATTGCTGTCTCTTCCAACTTCTAAATGTACAGTCAGTTTTGATGAGAAATATATTAAAAAATTAAGAAAGTGGGATAATTTTAATCACAGTTTTCATCGAATAATCTCTGTATGTAATTCCTTACTTTTTAAATTTCGTTATTGATTTATTTAATAGTGTCAATCCTAAACGGATTCTTTGAATGCTCATTCCTCACAAGAGAAGTGACTGCTTTCTTTGTGACCTTGTTAGATGACTTATAAATACCCTTGTCAGGAGAAAGTACGTCAGTAGGATCATCATTAAACCCAGTTCTTCGACTTTTCCTGATATAACTTTTTAATTTTGAGTGACTATCAACCTTTTCAAATAAAAACGGTAAATTTGTGACTGATTTCCTATCATCCAAGTAGTTATTTTATTTCTCCTTTCTTAGCATGAAGAATAAAGTCAGCTACGTTGCTCCATAAAGACTCATTGATTAACTCCTTGCTCTTCTGAACAATATCAGGCTCATTAAAAATAGGAAGATCGTTTAATAACTCAGATGTCTATAAATATGGTTTATTAGTTACCTTGGATGTACTGAGTTGAAGATTCCTCCCCTTTGTGCCCTTCCTAGTCTGCTTAAATTCAGCTACTTTCCTCATGATATTTAGGGGATGTGAGTTCCGACATTCGAAAGCAGGCATATGGAAAGTCAAATTTTTCGTTCTATTTAGTTTAAAGATCCTAAAAATCTTACGTTTTCGAAAAATTACAATTTTCCTTATTCTTCACCATGGTTGGACTATTTCAAGTACTGTGCTTGCTTGTCTTGCGGCTGAAATTTTCTAGAAGAAATTTGAGCATTTATATTTTGTGTATCTTTAGCAGCAAGAAGGCGATACGTACCCGCAGTTGACACTGATTTCGTAGATTCCATATTGCTTCAAAAAGATAATATTTTTAATAAAATTAGGTTCATTAATGATAAGAGTTTTAGGGGTTTTGGGGTTTTGGGGTTTTGGGGTTTTGGGG